AGATGTAGGCTGCTACCAGACAGGTGCCGGGCGTGCAGCTTTGAGGGCGGCTATGAACTGTTGGCTATCAGGCCTGTGTCACACTGAGTAAGAAGCAGCTCTCTCTAAAAGATTGTCAGGATTGACTGTCGGTCCCTTTCCTGATAAAACTGGGCCTGAAGTTTGAATTTGCAGTTATCCTTTTTGAGTCTGTCCTATATTCACCTCTCTGCTGTTCCTTCCAACCACTTTAGATTTCAGGGTACGGTTTAAACCAGATTCCTAAAAGGACCCACAACTCCCATTCCGACATAAAATAACAGAAGAAACAGGCTTCACACCCCTTATTCCCCTTACCCCTCCCTCATTTTTTTGACGGGAATGCCAATCAATGATCTAGTTCTGAGCCGTCTGAATTTCATTTAAAGTTCAAGGGTGCCATCTTGATTAATATACATGCCGGGAAGTTCTAGAGAGTTCTACATAATTGTAAAGTAGAAGAGAACTGGATATAATGATAGACAGGCTGCCTGTCGTATCATTTGTGATAAATTTAGCCAGCAGGTGCTGTGTCTTTATCTTCTGGTCTCTGTTTTCCACCCTTAAGGCCTTACTATGTATTCCAGGCAGGCTTTGAACTTGTGGCAATCATCCTGCCTTAGATTCTTAAGTGTTGGGATTTCTAGGTGTGTGTCACCACACAGGGTCCAGTTTTTTCTTTTGTCTTTTTAAACTTTATTGTGGTCTGGCTTGTATAGAAAAAAGTACCATAATTTTAATCTGCATGACAGGTTGGTCTGGGCATAGGTTTGACTCCGTTCCACCCTCACCACCCATCAAGGAAATGGATGTGCCCGAGGCTACTGAAAATTGTCCTTTCCATAAACAGCAAAAGCTGTGCCCTTTCCCGAGGGGCAGTGCCCGCTCTCTTCAGACCTCAGAATCCCGAATCCCGGTCCTCTTGCTGCGTGTATTGCCAGACTGTGAAGCCATACTTGCAGGAGCTTGGGAAGAGCTTAGCTCTTCCGAGAGAAGAGCTTTCTGTTACTGCTGTAAATTGGGTTAGAAGTGAGAGCTTAGCCTTTGATGAGCGAGCCGAGCCCTCTCTGCGTAAGAGTCGGGATTTAAGGTCCTCTCAGACAGCTGACAGTGGGAGTGGAAATTGGAAGTCAGTGAGAAAGCGGAGATAAGAAGGTTGCTGCCCCCGTGGTGAGAGGTCTGTTCCCAGGGAGAAATTGATCAGCCATGGCTGGAGGCAGATTAAATGGCAATACATCTCACTGCCTCTCTGGGGTGGGAGCTCCTGCAGGTGTGTGAAGCCCTGTACAAGAGCAGGCCTGCTCCTGGGTAGGTCCCTGGGCTCTGCTCTGCACGGTCCCCTTCCACCTCTTAAAGGGAACAAGGCGGCTTTTTGTCCTGGCTTACGTGCTTCTGGGGAAAATCCACTTCTGTTGTAGTTGTAAATTAGACCAAAGAGAGGAATCTGGTTTATTGCTAGTGTGGAAGTTAAAAGCTGGCTCCCTTTCCCAAGTGGTCTCTTAATTACATTCATTAGTTCTTAAATGTTAATTGGAATTGCCGAAGTTTAATTCCTGAAAGGTTTAGATTTTTATAAGGAACTTCTTCATTTATCGCATTACTATGTTCCATGGTGGGCTTTGTGCAGTGCTTTTAAATTAGAAGAATGGATTATTAATTGCGAATGCATTTGGTGACTAAGACAACCAAATGTCTACATTTAAATCCACATTTGTCTTACCTGCTGATATTTTCTGCAGAGTGTTTGTGTGCAAACAGTTCATTTTGATGACAACACACCCTTTGAGATCCCACGCTTAATTCAGCTTTTTATAAGATAAAGTTATAAAATTGATGGGAGGAGGAAACTTTGGAGACGGAGTGACAGGCGTGGGATATTTGGTTCTTACATAAACTCGAGGCTTCATGTCAAAAAGCCTCCTCCAGTTCCCCTCTGAGAGTAAGTGGAAGATGAGGCCCAGAAGAAAATTTGAATGCCAGGTGTTTATTTCATTGTTCACACTTGAGAAATCTCCTAGCATTCACAGGGCAGTTCTTCAAAAAGAAACACCAGTTTTGTAATCACAGACTATTATGTGGCTTCCTGGAGGGATACATTGCAAGTAGTACAGAAAAGACAGACATGTCCCTCCTCCAGTGACTTTTGAGATTAAAAAAAAAAAATCTTAATTACTGAAGGGAGGTCAGAGGTATGAGCTTAGCCGTCTCTATTGGGTCGAGGAGCTGGCTCAGCTGGGAGAGCGCTTGCTCTGCCGGCTCAAGGACCTGGGCTCAGAGCCCAGCACCCACCAGAGCCCAGCACAGTGGCCCCAGGGATGGGGAGACAGGCTGATCCGTGGAGCGATCACACCGTCTGGCCTAGCTGATGAGTTTCAGGTTCACCGAGAGACCCATCTACACAAGGTGGGGAGCAGTTGAAGAAGACACATCCAGCATTGAATTCCGGCCTCCACTCATGCTCACACATGTATGTACACGTGTAAATTAGTCTGTGGCGCTTGTCTAGGAAAGGTAACAGTTATTTTTGTTGTTGGTAGGTACGTGTGTATGTGTGTGTGTGCCTCTGTGTGTGTTTGTGTGTGTTGTTTACATACTACATTTCTTATATCTTTTCCTCTGGAAATAACTTAAACAGCTCAGAGTTCTCAGTCATGGATGTGAAAATGCTGTAAGAGAGGTGTTTAACGAAGTTTAACTTTAACCAGGTACTTAAACCACAAATGTCCGCTGTGATGTCACCTGGGAACATGGCCCTTCGATGAATAGAAGCTTTGTCTGTTCCTAGCTGACCAGAGTATTGAAATGGAACAGTAGCTGCTAATTCATCTTAAAAATGAAAAGAATCCAGTTGTCCCAGGGGTCCGTGATTCACCTGTGTATTTGGTACATAGAACTTTCTGAGATTTTTGTACCCTGCCTCCTGTCATGGCCCAAAGTATCCACCCCAGAGTGCACTGCTGACTGGATGTCTGCCGCCCTGGCTGTTATGGAGAAGTTTGGTCTCCAGGTACAATTTCTTTAGCTTCTTTTTAAGAGTCAATCCACTCATACTGGACCTCAAATGACAAGGCCTAGTTTTTAATCACAGAGAACCAGACTTCAGCCTGCCTCACATGGGCCGGGGGGTGGAGGTCCTGAGGGAGGAGCGGGGGTGAGGGGTCCTGAGGGAGGGTGGATGTGGAAGATCAAGAGCAGGATGAGCCGACACAGGAGGAGGCAGGAAAGACAGAGGGATAGTGTGGAGGTAAGTTCTGGAATCTGCGGTAGTCACAGCAGCTGAGGAGGTTGGGAAGCAAGCAAAGGTGAAACGATTGCCCCCCACACCCCTGTGGGTAGAGATGTTCCATTGCAATAAAAAGAATTCGGTTCAGGAATGAGGCCTGCTCCCAGAATGAGGGCCACTGTGCTTCCGTGTCTCCGTGAACTGTAGCTCATTGTGAAGACTGAAGAACGTTGGCCACCAAAGTCATGGACTTCCAACACCATGGACCAAGTCTGAACCAATCTTGAGGGTCCTGGAGAAAGAACAGGATGCAATAAAGCAGTGTCCCCAGCAACATCAGCATCAAAGAGGGAGGTGCCTGGGGCCTACAGCTCCTGAGAAGAAATAGCCATCAGTCATGGTAGAAGGTACCTCACGGGCAGTAAAGATAGCAGCCATCTTCCAGTAGCTGGGAGAGAGTACCCGTTCTTACTGCTTCAGACACAGTTGCTTTGACTCTGTATTGGGGTGGTGGGAAGTTCGTAGTGGATTTGGGAAATTGAAGGTGTGTGTGGTGGCGGGTAACTGTAGGACAGTGTTGTTCTGAGGTCACGGACATGGTGGGCTGTCCCTTTATAGGATGGAGAAGTGTCAGGAGCAGAAGTGCCTGGCAGTCTTAGCAGTCCTGTAAAAGGCTGCAGGAGCTCTCAGCTGTAAGTGGCAGATGGTGGACGAAGTCGTCGTTGCCCCTTGTGGTGCGCAGTCCATGACCATTATTAACAGTCTGTTTGCCGATTTCCCCATCTCTTACCTGTTTCCATGGCCCTCAAAGACATTCCTAGCCATTCGCAAACACCGTAGAGCGCTGGCAATCTGATGGCCACGTAAACCAGGACCACGTGTATCAGGACCACATGTACCAGGACCACGTGTATCAGGACCACATGTACCAGGACCACGTGTGCCAGAACCACATGTACCAGGACCACGTGTGCCAGAACCACATGTACCAGGACCACATGTGCCAGGACCACGTGTGCCAGGACCACGTGTACCAGGACCACGTGTGCCAGGACCACGTGTACCAGGACCAAGCATGCCAGAACCATGCCTGGCCTCCTTGTTTCAGCTCTGATTATGTAGTGCTGTGGTTTTTTTCTTTTGCATTTTTATGCCTTTAAAAATGATTTCACTGTTTATAAACACTGTTCCCCACCCCACCCCTTGCAAGCACTAACGTAGTACCTACCCGCCGTTTCTAAGGATGCGATCAGTATGTATTAGACTCCGTTAGACATGGACTAGTGCTGCCGCAGTGAGCCCTGTGCTAACAGGCAGCTTGTGTTCAGTAACATGTCTGTCAGTAGAAGCATGCAGAAAATGAGGTATGTATTGATCCATCGATGAAAACGTGAGTTGAGGCTCACAGATGCCTGGCCCTGTATTTCCCATAGGAGCAATGGTTCAGTCACTAATTTAGTCATGACTTCATTGACTGTAATTGCATCAACTAGCAAGACTCAATTGCATTTTTATTAGGTGAAAACCCAAGTTAAGGAATTAACTTCCTGTATCAGTTATTTTACAATTGTTTAATACTCAGAGATAGAAAATATTACGCATCTTTCATACAAATGGGCTTAGATCAGATGGTACACTAACTAAACTGTTTTACTGTCAAGACTTTACTTTTGGAAACATTCAAGTGTAGTCATTGTTAACCTCTGATGATTGGTTCAGAATGAGCACAGATTCATGGGTGCATAACAGAAAAGATATCAGCGTTTAGGCTGCACACATCCTCTTGTATTCGTCTGGCCATCATGAGTTTACTTGCAATGCCTAACCCAGTGAAATAGTATGAAAAGAGACATTACACAGATTTGCTTATGATGTAATGAAAAGGGGAAAGTGTTAGTATATGTTCACTATAAACATAAGTTTTTCATTTTGTTTGTTTTGTTTTGTTTTTTGTTTTCTGAGACAAGGTTTCTCTGTGTAACAGTCCTCGCTATCCTGGAACTCACTCTGTAGACCACACTGGCCTTGAACTTACGGAGATCCTCCTGTCTCTGCCTCCTGGGTGCTGGGATTAAAGGCACGTGCCACTACCGCCTGGCCAAACCCAAGTTTTAAAGGTGAAGTTTTAGCTTCATTTGGGGTGGGGAGATGCTGGGGGCTATAGTGCTCACTGTGCAAACATGAGGACCCGAGTTCAGGTCCCCAGCACTCACGTAAAAGCCACGTGCACATCTGATACCCCAGGGATGGGAGGCGTGCCATTGAGACAGGCAGATCCCGGTGGCTTCTGGGTTTCCATACTAGCCAAAACAGCAAGGAGGGAAGAAACCCTGTTTCAAAGAATAAGGTTGAAAGCAATAAATGAAGACATTTATTGATGGCTTGTAGAATTGTGTGTATAAATGTGTGTGCATCCCATGTGCATACACACACATGTATACACCCACAGAAGCTTTTCAAACACAGAGATAATTTAAGATGCACACATCCTGTCTGAGTGGGGAATCCTTAGATTTACTTAGCCAAACTTACAGATTCAGAGAACTGATTCTATGGTTAAAATAATTAGTAAATTTTTGGAAAATAATCTTTTTAATGATTGATTTTTATTATATCATAGCTCAAAAACCTTTTTATAAGAGTCAGCCTGACTCCTTTATTGAAAGAAAAAGACGTTTCTATTTTTGTTCAAGGGATCCATCATTAAAAATAACTGAGCTGAGTCAGTTTGATTCTGGACCTGTGGCCATGGGGAGACATTTTAGCAAAAGGAATCTTAGTTCTTTCCCCACCCCCCAAGTGGAGGTACTTCGATGAGACATAAATTGTTCAGCTGTCACAATGATTGATGTCACTCAGGTTTGCATCTGAGGAGGAGGCAGAAAAGCAACCAGATGCATGTCTACCAAGGAGAGCACAGGTCCGTTTATTCCTGTCGTTGGGCATCCAGACGAGAAGGGGCAGCGGGAAGCTGAAACACCGCGTTTTAGTGACAGACTCCAGGGGTTCCGTGGGAAGTGAGCAGTCTGGTCGCCCGCAGCTCTTCTTTCAAGATACATGTTGTATGATCCTGGATGCCCCTTCCACACGCTTCTGCTGGAAGTCTTCGGAACACCTGAGGCCACTGACCTTTCTGACAAATTAATTTTTAAGATGTCTAGATTTTCCAAGCTCTTGAGCCTCAGATCTGGGTGTGCATTTGAGTGTTTTATATGAATTTGGTCATACCTTATTCTTATGTTTCCTTGTGAGATTCACCATGATTTCTGAACAAGTAAAGTCGCAGGCACTCTGTGAAGAAGGATGGTAGGAGACAGGAACGCACAAGCAAGCTAGTCTCTCTTTGCAATGCCACCTCAGGCCACTCCAGCGATGCTGACCGTGATGCTATTCCTCCGAGACGTGCGGGTTTTCTCTTTTGTTCACGTCGTCTACTAAAACCTCCGTTGTTCTTCTGAGACAGGGCCTGCCACGGTGTCCCAGGCTGGCCCAGCCTGGCCTCAGACTCCTAAGTGCTGAGATTACAAGGTGTGTGCTCCTGCTCTCCAAGTTCTGAAAACTCTTCAAGTTATAAAGTCAGAGAAAGGACACCTGTTTAGAAGGGGATAAAGAAGTCTGTAGGGTTTAATAAACTAGTTTAACACAGGCATCCCATGAACTATAGCGCGGCCGCCGTGCCCTCTCACCCCACGACCCCCTTCACTTGGCCTTTACCATCTCTCATTACCATAGGTCAGATTCTGTGTTGATCTGCACGGGAACACACATACGGCTAATTTAAAACCACAGCGTTTGGTTTTGAATTCCCAACTGGATGCTTGTCCCACGCACTTAACTCCAAGGAGAGGAACTGATCCCTGTGGGTTCTGCCCTTGGTCTTGTTTATTGCTTAGCCCAGTGCTCTGACAGGGCGCTCGTGCACTAATTAAATGAATCGTCTTGATTTTTATAAAAATGAATTACTAACTTATGATTTGTAAGTCTCATACTTTATGAGTACGTCAGTGTGTGTGTGTGTTTGCATTGTGATAGAAGAAGGATGTGCTGACATTTTATTTTGTGGGCAGTGCTGAGCTTTGCTCTTGGTGCATGCAGGATGGCTGCTGGAAATCTACCCACATGCCCCTCTTCAGAAGAGACAGAGAGGCTGAAAGGTGGCTGCCCTGCCTGTGATCAGCTAGCGCTTGGCCTGTGTCCTTCACCTTGCCCAGGACTCTGCAAGGACACACCATCACCCTCCCAGTGTGTCTTCATTCAGGAAGTCACGATGGCTTTATCTAAGTGTGTAGAGAAGTCCCCTCAGCAGAGAGAGGGGCAAATAGCTACAGAAGGATCTGACACATCACAGTTTCGCAAAGTCCGTGGCAGACCGAATTGAATTGCGTGTTCAACAACAGAGTACTAGGTCGGAATGCAGAGTCTATGCTGACTTTGGTAGTCGAACCTCTGCACACAGTTATTTGGTCTGCCCAACCTTCCTGATGACTCGCTGTGAGAGCCCTGTAGCTGAAGGGAAACTGGTCTTGTGGCATCACTCCGTAGCGTAACCCTGTGGGGTCAGTCCTTACTGGTTGATGCTCATCCCCAGAGTTATTTAGCAGAGAAGGGAAGGCGACTCTCTTACATTATTTTAAGTGTAGCCCAAAGATGACAGCCCTGTGAGTGAGGTACAGTGCTTGCTCGCATGGGCACTGCAGGAGGTACACAGGGGGTACCTCGAGCGTGCTCTTTGGTTCTCTAGGCATTTCTGAACACCTTTGTCAGCTGTTCCTATGTTCTTTGTGGCCTGTGCCGGTGACTCCTGGTGGTCATGTAAGTTCTAGAAAAATGTGACTGTCCAAGTTCTCAGGGTGTTATTTTCAGAACTCGTTCAAATGGTGTGGTACTGGTATTTTTTCAGTTTGATTTTGGCAGCCATGGCCCCTGAGGTTTTTAAAGCTTATCAAAGCAATGTCAGCCACTTGGTTCCAAGGAAGGAGAATTCCAACGGTTGGAGAGGTCCTGGTGGTATCGGTGCTGAGAGCATAGCGTGTGGTGACTTCATAGCTCCGTATTGACTTAGGCAGCCACAGCGGCAACTGTAAGCCAAGTTTGTTCAGTGAGGAAAGCTCTGGTTTTCTGGTGTTTGAGGTGTTGAAGGAAAGGAAAATGGCTGTTGGACTCATTGGCAGTAACGCGAGGTTTGCCGCCTGTGCCGACGGCGCCGCTGGTGTGGGTGCTGGTGCCGATGGCGCCACTGGTGTGGGCACCGCTGGTGTGGTTGCCGGTGCTGCCGGCCTTGGTGATGACCGT